GCTGCAATACATTGTTCTGTAAGCCAGGCTTTTGGATATTTGCGGATTCCATCCTACGCCATTCTGATGGAACAGTTAACCCCTCGGGTCCTGAGGCCATCTGCGACACAGATCTCCATCGAGCAAAAGATCAAGCAGGCGGTGCAGGCTGCGTACAAGCGCGCTGGCCCTGTGGAAGCCCCCGCCCCCAGTGGGGCTCTCGGAGAGACGTGTTCGAACCCGTCAGTGTCCTTTTTGGGAACAAACAAATATGTCCAAAACGGGCACCTTCCACATCCTTCCACTGTAGGCTTCGGCTAAGGTTTTGTTTTGTTTGTGTGTGTGTTCAAGATGTCGGCGGCTGACCAAGGTGAAGTGCAGCCAGAGTGGACCACGGCTTGGGAAACTGGCTGGGGCAATGACTGGAGCTGTCAGTCGGGCTACCAATATGGGAACGACTATGGCTACAACCAGATGGGATGCGGCCACATGAATCAGATGGGCTATGACCAGATGAGTGGGCAGATGGGGTGTGGTCAGATGTGCAACCAGATGGGCTATGACCAGGGGCAGATGGGCTACGGCCAGATGGGCAGTCACATGGGATACGGAGAGGCGATGGGTGCAGTGTTGCTTGGAGTCCACAATCTGTGTTTGTTTGACCAGACTGCAAAACTGTCCTGCACAGGGCAACCAGTGGCAGCAAGGGCAGGGCTGGCAAGGGCAACAGGGTTGGCAAGGGCAGGCGGGCTGCACAGCGCAACCAGTAGAATGTTTTGTGTCTGAAAGTTGAGAGTGGAGAACTGCGCCAATGTTCAGAAGCATGCAATTTTGGAGAGCATGCTGTGTGTTGGCAGGCGCCTGGTGGGAACTGGCTGACGAGTGAAGGCATCCGGTTGCTGCAGTGGAGAGAAGTTAGGGTGTGATTGGCAAACGTTTGAATTCATGTCAGCAGCAACATGTGCTCGACTGGGGGCCGAATGTTTGCTAAGAAAGTACTTGTCAGGATCCTATGCAAGCAGCGCGGCCTGCTATGGCAATGAATACAACAATTGCTATTACGGCGGGACGTACGCTGGTGACTGGGCAGAGATTTCCTGCCTGGTCTGATGTTTAGCTTGCAAAACGCATGACCAAAATGAAGTTCAACCAATTGCGGGACTTGCGTGTGGTGGCAGAGTACTAGCGCCTCATTGAAAAGGCTGTTTACCAGGCCACATGTCCCGGTCATGCTTGCTCCGAAACTTCAGCCTTGTCCCATGTGATGCTGAGGCCAGGGACAGAATGCCTATGGCACTGGAGGCTGAGGGGCTCAACAAGATACGTGCAAACGCACAGAGCCCTTCATGAGGGTTGTGACATGAAACAAGGGTCTCTCGACAAAGCAACATGCACGGCTCGGTTTACGCAGTTCAATGGCGAAGACAAAGCTCATGAGTTGTCGGAGTTACAAGCTTATGAGTGCAGGAGTGGTATGCCTTCCAAGGTCTTTTGTTCTGCTGCGTGCTTCTTCCGAACAGATAGCTAGTCAATCCTTGTTCGAATCTCTGGATTGTGACAGTTTGCCCATGCACAACGAATCTTTGCGACATTTCATTTGATGCTGTTGCGATCATGGCAGCATGCCTTGGATTGGAGCCCCTAGAGTCCTCCAAGAAAACCAAAGGCTGATCACTTGGCAGGCCTGCGGCATCCCCAGGTCTCGCACTTCAGGTTTAAATCTCATGACTCTGGCTATCTGGTGGCTTGCTGTGTCGATCCAAGCGCCACCATGGATCCGCCCCGGTGCAGGTTCCTGGCCCAACGCTGCCTGGGGCTCCGCCTAGAGACTTGGCTTCGTCTCGGTTTGGTGGCGTTTGCCGGTGGACCAAATAGGAAATGCGGCAGGATGTCAATTTCCATTCGTGTAAAATGGCAAGTTTGAAGGGCGGCATGAAGTTGAGTTTAGACTACAGATAGGCCGCAGCACGAGCAGACAATACGAGCGGGATGCGCTAGTGACATGTGCTTAATGAAAAGGACGAATAAACATTGATAATACCAAGACACCATAGATATGTTCAAGCTGTAGACGTTAGCAAGCAATAAAGGCATGCTATACATCAAGAATTAAGTCGCAAAAGCAAACTGCTAGGAGTAATAGATGGGCTTTGTCCTTTTCTTTTGCTTCTCACATGATGTGATTATGTTGGGTGTATTGTTAGTTTGTTTATGTTTCATCGATAGTCGGTTATTTCTACCCCAACAAAAAATCCACTAACCCTCGACCGAAGAGAGCGATACTTTGCGGCTATATGGTTGGATCTTTGGATTTTGACCTTTTTGGGGAAACGGTGAATTATCCATTGGACCCACAAAAAGTTAAACAGTTGTAGCTCAACCAACCAAGAATAAGCAAGACTCGGATAGAAAAGTGGGACATGAAAGGAAAGGACATGAATGCATCTCTATTCTCTTTCTATCCTTATTATACTTGCATCCTTTACATGTTGGTTTCTTTTGTAGGTTTTGCATGTTGAATGGCGTAGCTTTCTGTAATTGAATAGAGCTGCTTTCATCAAACCATTCTTTGCCCCACTCAACTGCCTCTAGGACAATAATATCTCTTCATCTTCATTTCAAGTCTTTATCTTGGGATTTTTGCGAGTAGCCTTTATGTGGTTTTGTGGAAATCTCTAGGATACACAAGCCTGAGAATTGAGAGAGAGGTCCAAAAGCCTGTTCACTTCCTAGCCCTTCCTTGCCTCATGGCCATCCTCACCCATAATTAGGAAGGATTCAAGAACAGAGAGTGAAAAGGTGACCGAACGAGTGGTGTGAGGAACAATCACCGTGAAAGAATGGAAAAGGTGACTCGCTTCTTCTCAGACCAACATGTAGGGGGTGCCCGTACACTACGACCACCCCGCGTGAACTCCGCGGAACCTTGGCCCATCTCGTCCTGACACATGGGGGTTCGCGGAAACCCCGGCCACGAGGATTGAATGGAATTTGGGAAGATTTGGGAAGATTTCGTGCAACCTGTTGGGAGAACCCTCTTTTTTTGTTTGGGTTCACTTCAGGGTGTGCATGTGTGCCGCCCCCTGCCCCCTTCTGGCCGTGCTTGTCTCATGATTGTATGCTTGGTTGCATGTCATCTCCTGGCCGCGCGTCTCTCATCGGTTACCCGTTCACGCAGCTGACACCTGTTCACTTCGCTTTGATGTTGGGGAGTTGGTGTTGGCTTGGGTGTTTCGGCAAGCAACTTTGTCGCTCACACGTTGTGGAATCACCAGAAGGCAAGTAGGTCTATGCTGCCCTGGAATTAGCTTGCTTGAGCACTAAGGTCGTCAGATGTGGGGCTAAAACAAGCAGGGTTGCATTTGATGACAAGTCTAAGTGTGGATTGTGCCTTTCTGAAGTCAACTGCAAGGACTCCGTGATGAGGATGAAAGAGCTGGGAGCGATCTTGCTGCAGCGCTTGAAACAAGGGGTAGCAAGAACTGGGGGAACTACAGTGACAGTCACTAACACGCCTCATCACTTCATCTTTGCCAATTACAAATGCAAGTGCAGAACCTGGGTTGAGACTAGTTGGCATTGTCAACCCTTCAAGCAAGACATGGCCATTCCACACCAGTCAGTTACCTCCGCCTCCAAGAAGCGTGCACACCCCTGGCATAGTGAAAGCACAACCCAAGACTTGTCCTTGCAGTTCTTATCAAGCATTGCAAGAGTCAGGGTAGCACATGCTTCGGGCCCCATGCGCAGACTGCGGCATGGTGTCCCGGGGGGCCTTGTATAGATAGCTTCCCAGACGAGCAGCGCATACGAATGTGCTATGCTCCACTCTGAACTGCCAATGCTCTGTTTAAGCAACATATGATGGGGCTGGGCTTGCCCGCTTGGCGGTTGAAGCTACACCCCCCTTTCATATTTGACGGGCTGGAGCCAACATTGCCTTCGCCCTTCGGGTTCAGCACACAGTCAGAATTGCTATTGATGGATGCCAAGGCTGGCAAGAGAAGAAGTCGCTTCAACCATCACAGGCATCTATCCTGGCAAGCCAATGTGCGCCAAACAGTTTCAGTTCGCATGCAATAGATTGGGTGGGCGCCTTCACAAGGAGGACATCCAATTTTATGACAAAGCCACATAAAGATACACTGACGTACATGGTGAGGCATATTTCAAGTTGGTCAGCCGGTAAAGTGCTTGTTGGACCACGATTGTTTGTTTGCTCTGCATTTGTCCAGCATTTGCTCAAGAGAGCGAGAGAGAGATGCTTTGACTAACACGACATAGTGATTTGGACGACGGAGACAGCGCTTGCTGTTGTCCTATTGTGAACTCGGATACGGCTTTGTCGCCAATGCAACTAGCTGCCTGAGGAATCATGGCGAAATGCTCCTATTCGTAGGTGTCGCACTACTTGAAGATCCCAAAGTTAAGTTGTACGTGGAAAGAGATGCCAATTTTGTTAGCCGCTTCCGACATTAAAGTATTTCATGTTGCTCACGAGTCCAGGTACATGTTCACCTATGTGACGACATCGTTTGAGTTTGGCTGTCTATTGTGTTGTCTTGTGCTTTCAAGCTCTGCCTTGCCTGCCAAATTTGTACTTGGTTTACACCGCTGCCTTCTTACTTTTTACAGAGGTATCGTGCTGAATGCCAGGCTGAGCCGCGCAAGCTGAACGATGAACATGACATGTTTTTTGTCGGAGCATGTTCCACATGGGCGGGCTAAATTACCGGTTGCCGCTCGGAGGGTTGTTGCACAGTTAGTTCTACCTAGATTCACTTTGCGGGCCTTCAAGATGCGACGAGACGCGATTGCATGTGCCCCGTGGTGTGAGGCCACAGAGAAAAATGAATCAGGAGCAATACCTCAGATGTCCAAAGCCGACTGTGGTTTTTCATCTTCCTACCTTTTGGAAAGGCTGATTTGCCTTTCCGGGTTCTTTGTGCAAGCAAGATGCAATCGGTTTGAGGTCGACTCAGGAACTCCACAAAATGGCACCAGATGGAAATGGACTGCAGGCGAGAGAGGTGGAGGCTCTGGCGTATGCCGAGCCGGTGGAGTATTTGCGGCCGCTTCCTGAGGAATGTTGATGCTTTGTGGACTGCATATGTGGGGAGGTGTCAACATTCGGGTGATATTTGGGATGGGTTTAACTGGAAAAGAAAAAGGACACCAACTCTCGTCAGTTGGTTGGTTGCTTGGCTTAGCTTTCCGACGTCCTGAGCCCCACAGTCCGCTTGCTGCGTTCTTCCAGTGCGCTAAAGCAGGATGGGGCTGCATGGTAGCAGTTCCTGCTGGCAATTCATCAAGGATGGTTTGAATTCAAGGCCTGACCGACCTGTTGTTGCCCCTTTCGGTCCACGACGGATGCTTTTGGCCTTGTTTGTTCAACATAGCCAGAGCAGCGTTGCTCCCCTGACTATGGTTATATGACTGAACGTTTGGATGCAAGGCATGACATCCTGGCTGACGACTTCTTGGAGACCTTACAACAGCGAGTTGAAGAAGTGGGAAGGCTGCGGGTTGCTTCCGTTGGCTTTAAGTTTGAGAGGTGTGCACCTCAGAGGCAGCCAATCAGCTATCCGCTGAATTAGAACGCCTTTTGAAGCGCGCCCAGTCCGATTTTTGGAGTCCTGGCTGGGCGACATGATGTGGCGTTGGCCAGGCCCACAGCCATCCTCGCCATGCACTTGTGCGGCCGGCTGTCAGCTTCTCAGGGACGGACGCAGACACATTCCTCTTCCGGAAGCAAGCCTCACAGAGAAGACTGTGAGGTATGTGAACAAAACCTGTTGTGTACGGCGTCTATGAATTTCGGCTTGCGTGCACAAGTCATCGGTTTTGCTGGGCTGATTGCTGAGAGGAATAGCCTGGTGTTGGCCCAGTTGGCCCCCCTTCTCTGCAAGGAGCCTTCAAGCTATAGCTGCTTTTGAAAGCATCCGCCTGGTCAGGCCCAGGGCGCCCAGGGAGATTCTTTATGCCAAGCATTGAGTTTTATCAGCTGCACATGGGCTCACAACAACCCCTGAGAGTGCGACTCAATGGGCACGTTTGTCGGACACCGCATAAAAAAGCCGGACTGTTGCAATCAAAGAGCATTCTGGTTGTACAGCGCATGGCATTCCACAGAAAGCGCTTCCTGGCACATAGTGACACAAGGTGTTCAGTACTGAGCAAAGTACGCACAAATGCTACAGCATTAGACGTTCCATGCTGTTCTCCGCCGCATTTACAACAGCCTTCGTCAGCCCAAGCCTATTGAGCAATGGGCCAGTTTGCTTGTCGCAAGTGTCCTAACAATCGTGGGCGTATGTGTGCAGAGAATCCCTTTTGGCCCTGTCACGTGCGTGTGTGTGTGTGTGCGGAGTGGCAGAATACCCTGTCACCACAATTGAGCGCAGGGGTCGATGGTTCCTTTGGTGTGCATCGCCCAACGAAGACCGCACCATTGGATCGTGAAATCAGTCCAGGACGCTGGACTGACGTACCTGCCGTGATGCAACGTCCTTTTGGCCCCCTTGGTTGCGGCGCTGTTTGTGCTTCTTGTTCTTTCGGGTAACGTTTTCGACACTAGAGGGAAGCCGAGTGCATTGCGAGCCGAAACATATGCATGAAGAACCTTATCCAAGCCGAAACTTACCAGTTGTACTCGAAAGATTAGCACCCTCCATCTGGAGTTTAAGTGTGTACACCCCATTCGTGGGGAATCCTCGGGTGTACCCATCGTGTGACCCCGGGCCGGCTCTGTCGGAAAATTTGACCTCAGCGTGCTTATCATAGACCAGCGGAATTTCACATTTAACCAGGATCGAGGTTTCACTAAAGGGAAGACAGCCACCTCTTCATAGCTACGTTTCACCCTTCGTTCTTTTTTCTCGCCTTCGTCTTCCGCGTGCCCGTCTTCTGGTTCTTCGCCCGCCTAGGGATGGCTTCTCCTTCCTCCCGTTCTCTTCCTGCTGCCTTTCGTGACCCGCGCGTTCGCCCTCCTCCTGTTCGCCCGCTTAGGGATGGCCTGGTTGTCCTCGCGTTGTTCACCTTTTTCCTCGTCGTCGTCTTCGTGTCTGTCTTCCTGTTCCTACTCCTCTTCTTCCTCACGTAGTTTGGCTTGACGTCTTCTTCCCCTTCCGTTGCTATTTCGTGTTCGTCCTCTTGGCCCCTGTGTGGGATTCGTCGTCTTCCTCCTCGAGCTTTGGACTTCATCCTCTCTTCCTGTCTGGGCGGGATGCGTCGCCCTAAAAACGCATACTACTTCCCTCTTCCTTTTCTTTTTCTCCTTTCTCCTCTCCTCGGGCGGGCTGCGGCGCCCTAAATACGCATCTCGCTCCCTTTGTCTTCTTTTCTCTCCTTCTTCTTCTTCTCTCTCCCTTGCGTTCCTTTCTCCTTCCCCCGGGCGGGCTGCGGCGCCCTAAATACGCATCTCGGCCCTTCTCCTCCTTTCTCTCTTTCTCGCTCTCTCCTTCTTTTCTTCTCTCCTTCTTTTCTTCTCCCCTTTCCCTACTACTTCCGGTTGTTCCTCTTCGCCCGTTTAGGGATGGCGTGTTCGTGGTGTCGTTCTTCAACTTCGCGGTGCTCTTTCTTTACAAGGTTTAGGAGGGTTTCTGGACTGTTTGGGGTTCTTTGCCCTCGGCGGTGACCCTAAACTCGGTTTCCCGTTTTTCGTGTTTCTTGGTTGGGGTTTTGCCCGCGGAGACCCAACGTGGGGCCTTTCTGTTCCTTTTGGGTTCTTGCTCCGTTTGTTTTCTGTTGGGGTCTTCGTCCGTCTTTCGGGCGCTTCTTCTTCCCCCCGAAAAAAGAGACTTTTCGCCCCTCACTGAGGGGCGTGTGTGTGCGGAGTGGCAGAATACCCTGTCACCACAATTGAGCGCAGGGGGGCGATGGTTCCTTTGGTGTGCGTCGCCCAACGAAGACCGCACCATTGGATCGTGAAATCAGTCCAGGACGCTGGACTGACGTACCTGCCGTGATGCAACGTCCTTTTGGCCCCCTTGGTTGCGGCGCTGTTTGTGCTTCTTGTTCTTTCGGGTAACGTTTTCGACACTAGAGGGAAGCCGAGTGCATTGCGAGCCGAAACTTATGCATGAAGAGCCTTATCCAAGCCGAAACTTACCAGTTGTACTCGAAAGATTAGCGCCCTCCATCTGGAGTTTAAGTGTGTGTGTGTGTGAGTGTGTGTGAGTGTGTGTGTCTCTGTGTGTGTGCGCGCTGATCATCCGCGTCAATCCTGTTTGACCTGGTGCCACATGTGTGTGTGTGAGTTGTGTTGTGTTGTGTTGCGTTGCGCTGTGTTATGTTGTGTTATGTTGTGTTATGTTATGTTGTGTTATGTTGTGTGTTGTGTTGTGTGGTGTTGTGGTGTGGTGTGGTGTGGTGCGGTGTGGTGTGTGGTGGTGTGGTGGTGTGGTGGTGGTGGTGGTGGTGGTTGTGGTGGTGGTAGTGGTGGTGGTGGTGTTGTTGTTGTTGGTGGTGGTGATGGTGGTTGTTGTTGGTTGTTGTTTGTTGTTGTTTGTTGTTGTTGGTTGTTGTTGTTGTTGTTGCTGCTGCTGCTGCTGTTGTTGTTGTTGTTGTTGTTGTTGTGGTTGTGGTTGTGGTTGTGGTTGTGGTTGTGGTTGTGGTTGTGGTTGTGGTTGTGGTTGTGGTTGTCGTTGTCGTTGTCGTTGTCGTTGTCGTTGTCGTTGTCGTTGTCGTTGTCGTTGTCGTTGTCGTTGTCGTTGTCGTTGTCGTTGTCGTTGTCGTTGTCGTTGTCGTTGTCGTTGTCGTTGTCGTTGTCGTTGTCGTTGTCGTTGTCGTTGTCGTTGTAGTTGTCGTTGTCGTTGTCGTTGTCGTTGTCGTTGTCGTTGTCGTTGTCGTTGTCGTTGTCGTTGTCGTTGTCGTTGTCGTTGTCGTTGTCGTTGTCGTTGTCGTTGTCGTTGTCGTTGTCGTTGTGTTGTCGGTGTCGGTTGTCGGTGTCGGTGTCGGTGTCGGTGTCGGTGTCGGTGTCGGTGTCGGTGTCGGTGTCGGTGTCGGTGTCGGTGTCGGTGTCGTGGTGTTGTCGTGTTGGTGTTGTCGTGTCGGTGTCGGTGTCGGTGTCGGTGTCGGTGTCGGTGTCGGTGTCGGTGTCGGTGTCGGTGTCGGTGTCGGTGTCGGTGTCGGTGTCGGTGTCGGTGTCGGTGTCGGTGTCGGTGTCGGTGTCGGTGTCGGTGTCGGTGTCGGTGTCGGTGTCGGTGTCGGTGTCGGTGTCGGCGTCGGCGTCGGCGTCGGCGTCGGTGTCGGTGTCGGTGTCGGTGTCGGTGTCGGTGTCGGTGTCGGTGTCGGTGTCGGTGTCGGTGTCGGTGTCGGCGTCGGCGTCGGCGTCGGCGTCGACCGGTGTCGGTGTCGGTGTCGGTGTCGGTGTCGGTGTCGGTGTCGGTGTCGGTGTCGGTGTCGGTGTCGGTGTCGGTCCCAAAGGCTGCCCAATTGAAAAAAATCAATCGAGATTGGTTTTTTCAATCGAATTTCAATTTTCTTAAAAAATCAATAGAAAATTCAATCGAAGACCGGTTTCTCTCCAAACAAAGATCCATGTTAAAATCAATCGAGATTTCATTTTTTCAATCGAGGATTTTATTTTTTCAATCGAGGATTTTATTTTTTCAATCGAGGATTTTACTTTTTCAATCGAGGATTCTACTTTTTCAATCGAGGATTTGGCGGCTTTCGTTCAGCGAACTCAGCGAGTTTAGCGGAAGTTCGGCCAACTCAAGTTCAGGCAGCTGAGGGGAACTGAGTGCAAATTCAAGTTCAGGCAACTGAGGGGAACTGGAACTGAGTGCAAGTTCAAAGGAGTGTTAAACTTAAACATTGTGTGGTTCAAGTATTCAAGTTCGGGCAACTGAGTGCAAGATCAAAAGAGGGTTAAACATTGTGTGACGGTGGTCAGTGTGCTGCCCACCATGCTGTGAATGACATTTATGCGTCGCTGGCGTTTTTTTTGCCTCCCAGCACCAGTGAAGCCTGAGCGAAGCCTAACAAAATGAGTTCATACTCACTGCATTGAGCCGCGACTCACAGAGCTATACCTGGCGGCGGTGGGCTTCATGGCCTTCATGGCCTTCAAGGCCTTCATGGCCTTCAAGGCCTTCACCGCCTTGAGAAGCTTTCTGCCCTTCATGGTCTTCTTCTTCATGCTCCTAATGGCGATCGCTGTCACGACCTTCTGCTCATCTTTCCTCACTTGCCCAAAGGACCTGGACATGAAAGGTTCCTTTTGGAATCTCGACTAAAAAGCAAAAAGGGAAAACCACAAGGTCAAAAGATTGGCTTTGAACAACTGGATTTCACATCTCGCAATACCGCCTCGATCTCGATGAACTTGCACCAGATCATGTCAATCTGCTTCGCGACTTCGCTGTGCATGTGGTCGAAGTTGACGCGCAGACAGCGGATCCATTCATCGACATCCGTCATGGCTGCCGATGCTGCTGCTATTGATCCCTGAAATTCAATCGAGGATTTGGTGTCTTTTCTGTCTCCACCCCCTCTCCTCACCATTCTCTCCCTCCCTCTCTCTCTGTTTCTGCTGTCTGTCTGTCTCTCTCTGTCTCACACACACACTGTCTTTCCAGACACAGCACTGCCTTGCCAATGTCTCTCCAGACATATCTTCTGGATGCCAGGTTCTTTTCACTCCTGCAGGTCAAAAGCCAAGCTAAACTTGGCACACACCTTCTGTGCAACCATCCAGGGAGG